CACTCCGAGAGGTCCGCATGGCTTGCATACCTCTTTTGGTCATATCCAGCTGCACAACTCTTTAGCTTTTACACAACTTTTGGATGATGATGAATTTTAATCCAATATTCATCTCCTCAACTGTCCTCAAAATATCTTGTTTTTAAGTGCAGTGGAGCGGTTTCTGAGACCCGTAGCTTATCTGCACTCTATCCGCATTGGAAAGAAGCTAATTCAATAATCTTTGTAGATTTGTAATGACGGAAGATGTAGTTATACCATGCATCAGAATGACTTCAGGCGGCTTAGAATATGCATCAATAATCATTGATTAATAGATGCACTGAGTATGGCCACCAACATCCACGTGACTGCCTAACCAGGTCTCCGCGGAAAGTTGAGGCTAACCCTTAAGTGGTAGTTTCGCTAAGATTGAACAATTTTGGCACGTCATTTAATATGGTTTCAATTTGCTGATTTGCAAAAGGCCAATAGGCCTGCTAAATCATCATAGCGGTAACTGCTAGGCTGCGCATCGAATGTTTGAAGACGTATTGAACATTATAATCCACAGCGTTTGGTACTATTACAATATCGTCCTCAGATATTACTCTGGGAATGATATCACCGTGTCCAAAACCTTCCACTTTATTGCCATCTAAGTCAAAATTATATCCTATGAGCATTGTGATTCGACGCCATAACCGACTTGTGGTGTATACTGGGAGTATGGTCTTCGTACGGAAGATGGACTGTGATCAATGAGCGGAGTAAACGTTCTTCCGCACATCATCTTGTGGAAACTTGCGAGTGCAAAAATTGGAGCGTCTAGATATGCAGGCACGCAGTGACATTTAGTATTTCGTTTCAATAATTGATTTATCGAAGCTAATAGTTGATGTGCTTGTAGTATGATTTTTTTGACAGCCCAAGGAAGTATTGCAGTGTTTCTTTATCAGTAGATTTGAACATCCCTCTCGTGTTGCCATTTTCATTGTTCCGGGTCTTCTACCAATTATATCAATGATTGATCTGAAGTACTTGATGCTAGACAGCACAAGGGACCATTGCTGAGGCTGAAATTGGAAACCACATGGCTGTATTGAAATGTCCTACGTGCTCATTTGTTGTTTACGCTAACAATAATAATGTAATCCATAGAAGCCCAGCCAGTATCGCGTCCATTACTTGCTGAAAAAGGCGCTGGGCACACCCAACATCAAAGGGCGAGGATTGTTGTGGTATAAGCTTCTGCGGAAATTGAAATTGAGTAGTACTTTTTTGCACTCATCCTCCTCCACAACTTGCAGATGCGCATCAGATAAATCAATATTGTAAAATATTTTACCACCGTTCAGTTTGGCCAACAAGTAACCCAGATCAAAAAATGGATAGTGATGTATTTCAAGTAACTGACTCAACCCTGTTGAAAAGTCGATACAGTTCACCAAGGTCCCGTTGATCTTTTTGCCTACAAAGATCGGTGCAGTCCATGCCGGAAAAATATCTGGACCTATTACTGCCAACTGTTTTAATCACCTTAACTCACCGTTGAGAAGTTCAGTACAATGGTATTCTACCTACTCGGTTTCAGTGTGCTTAGTTAACATTTGGAAACGTCGTTTCTGATTCCTTGGTATGTGATCCATGGTACGTGTGTATTTGTACTAGCATCCACTTATTTTATGATCGAGCAAAAGAAATAAGCTCTATGTTTGGAGCATTCTTTCGGTTCATCCACTCAAAAACAAACAGAAAGAACATAAAACTATAAACAATTCAGGAGATGCTTCTGTATTTCCATAATGTTTGCAGAGATAAATTAGCAGCAGAAGTAATGAACTAGAAAACGTCAAAGCTAGATTTTTTATTTATTTTTATTTTCATTTCTACTTCCTTCTATTGAATATACAAAGATAATATTTTCGGGGAAGGAGGAATTGGCCAATCAAAAGGGCTGCCATTCAACTCACAATGAGGGAAGTCAGGCGGTGATAGTGGGCATCAAACACTCGTCCTCCCTGGGGGGTGATAATTTGGTGACGTTACCACCAGGCCATCATCGTCCCGATGAATGTAGAAAACACACTGAGGGCTGCGGTTCCTTACTTCTGCATTAAGCGTGGTTTTATATAAATTGGTATTCAATATATAAGCGGATAAAATGGAACGGACTTACGACTAGGCTAGTTTATGTTATTGCTTGGTCAATTACAAACATGGCGCTACTGAATGCCGAGTAATATTACGATGCAAGAAAACAGAAAGAAAAATGCACGCTTATAAAAATAAAAGATCAGTACAATAGTGAGTACATCATCGTTCGGCTTCTTCTGTCGATTGCCATTCAAAAATAACTAATAACAGTCATTGACTTTTGCATTTATAACCAAACTACTGAATCACGCACAGTAGTCAAGGCCAAAGTATTGTAACAGTCAAATTCCCCTCTGAAGATTTTAAACCAACCCCAGTGCTTGCAGATCCTTCGGAGTTTGAGCTGCAANAACATGAACTATTCCTCTCCATAAACAGCTGTTCGTATATCCATAACATGGTTCAATGAAACGTTGTACGTTCACGAGAAACGGAACGAAGGTTTCCATGCATACTGCTGTCATTAAATTGTTCGTCATAAATATACGTCCTGTGAGTTGCAAAACGAACATGAACTTGGTCCTAATGACTGGAGGTCGTTTTATGTGCGTGTTTTTTTTAAATCCTTAAAAAAGAGACGAACACCAGTTGCTATAGCTACTAAATCTAGGAGCCGTACCCTATCCGCTTCAATTTACACCGGACGAGATTCGCCGGAGAGAAGAGCTGTAATCCGATAACTGATGCCACCTCCTCAGAAATCTATATCTGAGCTTTCAAGAATTTTAATTTTAATGTCTTAGAGACACCTGTCAAATATTGCCTCACTCGGTTCGCTCAAGCCGTTGCCGGTTAAATACCCTCGTGCGTACAGGCACCGTGCATAAATTCACATACATTTCTGGACTTATTTACATACGTAGCGGTATGATGTACGAAAAACTATTTCTCTTTTGCTTTCTAAATTATCATCGGCATGAATGGTAAATTGGAAATCATGTATCGATAGAAAAATTCTATGATTCGGTATAAATTCAGCGCAATTCTGAGTTTCTTTTGGAACAGGTTTCAATAATTTGGCCAACCAATTTCCCCTGGCATGATTCAGCGAGTTGCTCGTCTAAAACCCGTCGTAATGAAACTGCTTTTTATGTATCTTCGACCATCCGTACAACTTTGAAATAACGTTTTTAGCTGGCTAAATGCAGGCTAAATTACCTTTAGTGCATCTTCTAAATCCGACAGGTATTCTTGTCGGGTTTTCCCCATGTAACTTGATTCACCATTAAAAGGTGGTCCGATGACAACAAGCAAAACAAAAAACAGACCGTTCAGTGCGCTCCCAAAAGCCGAGAAAGATTCATTCAAACCTATAAGAACCGAGCATCGTCATCATCCTCCCTGTGAACGAAGGAAGAGTAGCCCTGGTTGTGGACAAAATAAACTACATCAGAAAGACAAACGAATTACCCCAAAACACAAATGCCTACCTCCAAATGAACACATAAATAGCTTGAAAGCTTGCCAGCAAAATTAAAATAACACTACGAAGACTAAAACAGCTACACCAGATTAGCAAAGACCATAAGAGAACGGAACAAACGGCTCAGACACGACTCAATTCTATGGACTACCAACCAAGATAACGTGCCGTTACGATCAACAGTTTCACTTCCCGGTACACCAACCTTCAATTTGGTTAAATAATTGTGAAGAAGAATCAAACCTCCCATCGCCGGCAGCTAACATTCCACCAATAACGCTAAAACAGTTCCTAGACAAATTTAAGAATATTATTACTGATGCACATGAAATAACTACATCCTTTGAAGTAGCCGCTCTATTCAACTTCATCGAATTGGATTTGACCCAAAATTCTCTAAGGGGTTTCTAGAAGAACGACAGATAAACTTAATTGCGAAAGAATCTGCAAGGTGGTGGACCTATGATACAAACAAACTTCGAATTCAGCTGTGAAATCTGCTTGCGGGTGAAAGATACAACCATGGGCTCAACAAGTTCTTCACTGAATTATTCACTGAAACCGTAATGCCAAAACCTCTGAGATCCATTCTACCACATATCCAGCCAAAACTCTAGTTTAGATATTTAGTTGACATGTTTTTGATCCTGAAGCGATCGGAAGTGGACAGAGCTTTCAACAGCATGAACAAATTCTTCCCGGATATTAAGTTCACCAAGGAAACAAGAAAATATCAAATTGGCATTTCTCGATGTTCTAGTAACAAGATCATTGTACGGTCCATTAGAGACATCAGTATACAGAAAGAACATCCACACTGATCAAATCCTGGGATACACCAACAATTACATAACCTGTCACAAACAAGATACATATGGACATACATATGCACAATGCAGCCCTGAAAGGTTGCAACAACATGAGGAGAAATACTTCGATCATGTAGTCCTCTACAACGGCTACACTCGCAACCTCGTCAAACGGACAATAACTCGAGAACAACAACAATTTGCAAAAGTGAATGGCCCTTCCTTATGTGAAGAACATTTCTGAAATGACCACGAAAATACTGAAGTCACCCACAAACCAACAACAACTCTACGGAGAATCTTATAGAAAACCAAGAAGCAACAAGAAGACAGAAATCGAACGCGTGTGACCACCGCATCAACTGCAAGCAATGCAAAAAGCACCACCTCGGTGAAACAAAGAAAGAACTAGCAACTCCACTGCACGAACACACAGTGGCACACTTCGATTGGCCGCGTTAAACTTACACACGTTCCGTCACATCAATGGAATTTTCACACTTTCACTTTATATCATTCGTCGTCGTTACTGGTGGGGTCATATTCTCTGTTGCAAACGTGCTAGCACATTTTTTGACAAATCATTGTTTTTTGCGACTGCAGTTTCTCACTGTCCAGGTTGGAACAAAAAAATGCAAGCGTACAGGATGGTAAGTTGCCCTTGATTGCACCGTTTTTGGCTAGGATGAATTTTCCCTCATGGATGGGCGAAAACACTCGGTCCCTGTTTCCAAAAATGTCATCCTTTGATGAATTCACATGAACACTTGTGAAGTCTATATACAAGAATCTCGGTGGGATGAAGATAAAGATGTTTTTCCAGTGTCGATAGATTGTTTTCAATTTTACCGACAGGATCGTGGTGTGACACGTCCCATGTCATTTTTTAGTGAGGCCTAAAATGTAGTGAGTGCCTAACCGTGCAGTGTCACCAGCCCAAGACTTTCCCGTTTTAGGTACACAATTCTGACTAACATTTATATAGCACCTTATTGTGCGCAATCAGATCGCATGTCATTTTTCGACTCGTGCATACTTTTTATTGCCTAACTTTTAGGTGTTAACCTGCACATGACCGTTGGCGACTTGAACCGTACTAGTACTTATCCTCTTTTATGGTTAGACATGACAGATCTTTGTCACTCTCTCAAAAGAGGTAATTACATATTGAACAGAGTATTCACCAACCACCCAACCTTTGATCATTTAGCACTAAAAACATCTGGTTCATCCAGTGACCATTTTTACTCTTAGTTAGATGTAAAGTTTATTCACAGTGTGCATATAAACCTTTCTCTTGATTTGACCACATCCGATTTCGTTATCGTAACTTCTCACCTACACGTTTTTCTCTCCTCTGTGAATATCCAAGGTAAACCTTTTCATGGTTTTCATCCTTTCCTTCTTCTCTATACAAGTTTGTCCTCCCAATCAATCAGACAATCAACACAGTTTATGATTACTGCCGCCCGTTCAATGCCTACATGTGTACAACGGGAATGATACACTGGTCTCTACTAAAGTCGCTGCAACAACAAAAGGAATCTGCGTATAAGTGGTATAAGGCTTCTACTGCCAGGAGTTTGTCCAGACTTAACAAAACGAAAGTAAATATATTTACGTTAGCCAGCTTGGATTAGCTTGAATTCCATTCTCAAGAGGCATCAGGCATTATTGATGGTCTTGAGTGTGGGTTTCACTCCATCGGATATCGTTAATTCCCCGCAAGTCCATCCCTATACATGCGATGGAAATATGTGTGATAACCGACAAATAGCACTGGACAGCTGTTCGTCCTGTTTAAGACTCGTCAGTGCGTACATTAGTGTTCCTGTCAAGGCTCGATTATCACAAACATTTCCATCACATTAAAATGCATGAATTGTGGGGAATTAACGATCTCCCAATGAGTGGAACCCACATCCAAGCGACTAAGAGTGCCTGGTGCCTCTTAAGAATCGAATTGGCTAATCCAAGCTTCCTACTCTGAAACTGATTGAACCATTCGCACAAGATGATGACTGTCGACCGTGTAGATCAATGGTTAGCGATTGAAGTCCCAGACGAAATTTCGCGGTTTGAGTTCTGACAGGGGCACAGAAGGTGTGCACCACTGACGAGTCCCAAGGAGGAGACAACAGCTGCCCAATGCTCTTTCTCGATTATCACAAACATTTCCATTGTGCAAAAGTACATAGATTGAAAGCGTTATTCTCTGGTTGAATTCTGAGGACTGGAAAGAGCAAACAGCTGTGGCAACTGTAAAACTTCTCTGTGGAAGGAAGAAAGTACTGCGAAAGCTGGATATGGGTGTTAATTATCTGAATGCCGCATTCCTGCCACAGTTATCATGCATTCTTCCTACCTATTCGTAACAAAACCACTCTCATATTGTGATACATTAAACTTTCAAATAGTCCCAATTAGTCCTCTGCTGCAGGCCCGGATGACTTACCTCCTGCCCTCTTCAAATATGTTGCTGCTTCCCTAGCTGGGACAATTAACTCTATTGTAAGACTTCTACTACCCCCGACTGTTGGAGGCCGGTCACGATCATACTAATCCCTAAGGCATTCAAACTTTCTGTCCTCTTCAAACGTTTTTGTCCCATACCGTTAAGATCTTCAGCTCTTAAGTTAACTAAAAATGTTATTCTGGAACGCATTCAGCGGTCTAAAAACATTCTCAGGAATCCTTTGCAGTTTACTTATAAGTCCAGTGGATCTACTTGTGGTGCAGTCTCCACGCTTCTTCAATTTATCACTACGTCTTTGAAGAACTCTATTGAGTACGTTTGGTGTGTTTTTCTAGACTGCTCTTCAGCATTTGGTTCCATTCCTCGATCTAACTCAATATAAAAGCTGGAATCGCTTGAATCCCCCAAGCAGTTGTTACCTTGGCCATAGAACTGCTTTACTGATATACTACAACCCACTAGATTGAAGAAAGCTCCATCTAAACCCTGAGTCAATAACTCCGGAGTTCATCAGAGAGCCATATTTAGCCATACTTATTTTCCGATTATATTTGTGACATTCCTTGGGTTTCTTCTGCACGTTTTCTGAAATATGCAGTGCTCTACCAACCCATTCCATTTTAATCCGATCTCTGATCAAATTCAGTCACTCTGAGCCCTGTTTGTTTCCTCTCTTCTATGCAAAGTGATGTGATATAAAATGTGACGTATTAGCCAGTTGATGAGTCACCGAAAAAAAAAGCTTTTTCGCTCAACTGCGTTTTTCATTCAGAGTGTGTCGCTGGTATATTCCGGGAATTAAAACAAGCCAAGGATCCTATCGTACTGCGTGGACTTAACAAGTATGTTAAGCTTCGTACGAAATTGGTAGTGGCCGAAACTTGTTGAGTTCATCACAAAATGTATGGAAAAATCACTGTTCCCCAAACTGTATTTTAAGACTCTGAGAAGGAATCGAATCTGTGCCCCATATCAAACCCTGATACGCCAAGCTCTGAATGAAAATGACACAATCGTCGGACATATCGGGGAACTACGTAGAAACTTTGCCAAACACACTCATGTTCTGGATTCACTGTCCTACGAGGAACGTAATCGTTTCGAGTCATCCGTAGAATCATTGGTAAGGAAACAAGTTGAACGAAAGCGCAATATTCTACGAAAGCGATTAGGTCCTGCGAAACCCATCGGTTAGTTCCCAGCCAATCTTCAAAGGTATTTGCACACTGTTTCCTCTATCAGGTTAGACAAATGTTTGCTCGAAGTTTTGTCTCTTGGACCTCAATCGTGTGGTCCAACTGGAAGAACTAAACAACTGGATCTAGAAGTACAGTTCAAAAACCTTTTCTCACAACTGTCAGATTTATCGCCTTCATCATCACAAAATGTGGCTCAGCTGAAATCCACACTAGTAAACACATGCTATTATCGTCTCGATAACAAACCGATGAAGAAAGATCTAGTGACACCACAACACCGAGAACGGCTAAAGGGATCGGGGAATAATCATGATGTAATTCTATGCGGACCAGACAAGGGTACAGTAGTTGTTATACTGAACAGATCAGACTACGTTACCAAGATGAATAACATAATCCGTGACAGCACAAAATTTAAGAAAATGTCCGGAGAAAAGGATAAAACGGAACAGATAGAGTAGAAACTGTCAAGGATAATCGGAATTCTAAAGCAAAAGGGTGTCGTGAATGCAAACACGTTGCAACTAATCCGACCGATTGAAACAATAATCCCAAGTTTGTATGGTTCACCCAAAGTACACAAAGATTGAATACCCCTCAGGCCAATTCTAGACATGTGTAATTCCCCATACCATGCAATAGCCAAATGGCTTGTGACAATTTTGGATCCAGTGAGAGCCATCCTTGCAACCCACACTTTACCGGACGCTTTCATTTTGATAGATTTAATCAGAAACGTAAATGTGAATGACCAACGAATGATATCCATAGACCTTAGCTCACTTTTCACCAGTGTTCCTATCGCAGAGACCACTGAGTATTTATGTGACCAAATCCAGGAAAAGAATACCAAAATTGCAATACCTCTTGAAACAGCTATTGTACTTCTGCACACAGAACGTTCAGTTAAAGTTCAATGAAAAAATCTATCGCCAAAAGGACGGAGTCGCAATTGGATCCCGCTCTGTCCCCTATTTGAGGATTTATTCATGTCCAAGCTAGAAAATATTGTTTTGAAGTCTACAATTAAGTGATGTAAGCTGTGCAGACGATACGTCGATGACATATTATGTTTTGTGGACAGTAACGTCAAAGTGTCCAACTTGCTCAGGATATTTAATTCCGCTCATCCCAGCATCAAGTTCACATTGGAAGGAGAGCTTAATGATGGGATTGGTTTTCTCGATATCTGGCGAAAGTGTCACACAGATCGTTCTATTCAGAGATCGATTTATAGGAAACCGACTTGGAGCGGCCAGTATATCCATTTCAGAAGCTTCGTGCTACTCAAACGAAAAAGAAATCTTAATAAGTGTTTGGTTAACAGGGCGGTAAAAATATGCACCGATGACACCATAAATGCCGAACTAGCGTTCAGTGTTTGTTTAGTTTTCCTCGCTCTCCAAATTCGACAAAGCACACATTGATAAGGAACAGTGCTTTATCTAGGGTGAGCTTTGTTAAATGTCTTCGTGTAACTATAGATGGCAGCCTTCATCGGTCAACCCACATCCAGAACTCCATTGGCAAGCTGTGGCGCCTAAACTTTGAAATTTGAAATTTCGGATAGTTTCGTGCATCCCAGTCAGTTATTTCCACCTTTGGTAATCATCGTGTTTCCCTCATCTTACTTCACTGTTCTCCAGTTGCTTTTCCTGGCTTTCTCAAACAAAATGTCGGTCTTACACCGCCGCCTAACTATTATAAAACCGCTTCTCTTCTATGAATGCGTAACCTGTAGAGCTTTCCGAGTATCATATACCGTTCTGTGTGAACTTTTCACATTATTCTCACAGATCCGGATGATCTGTTGACACAGAACTGACATGATGCTGTTTCCATCATTTCGCACGCTCCCAATTCCCCCGATTTCGATCTGGAATAAACACTAAGCGAAATTCACCCTTGCCGTACCTTAAAGATTTACTCACAAACAATGAAAGGGCAATAAGTTCACTGTCTTCAACTTGGATTATGAAATGTTCTGATATCTGTAAAAAGCTTCTGTCCGTCAATATGTACTTTATGACGGGTAGTTTGTATGTCACTTTACCTTCATTGCTTGCAAAATTTATACACAATACACAAAAGACACGATGCGCACTCAATCATCTCAAGGACCAAGAATGATGCAACTTCCAATTTGAAAATATCAAAGTCGCCGATCAGGCTCGCACCAAGCACAAAAGAAAACTTTTTGGAAGCTTGGTCATTTAACCGACATATCGAAATCGATAAAGTCTACACCCCAATGCAACCAAAGAACCAATCAGCCGAACGAAGGCAGGTCGTGTCACACGTCACAATCGGGCAACAGACTGCTCCTATCCAAATCGTCCCCTAACAGCACAGGGAGAACAAACTTCAGTCAATCAGGTAACGCCACGTCTCCACGTCACTCGACGACGTATATAACGGAAGGAACGCTTGAAAGCGCTTACCCATGTACTGCATTGAGAATGTCCCCTCAACTGATAATGAAACTTTTGCAATACGATTCCCGAGCTCGGCGAACTACCCAACATGATATATATGTACAATGTATACAAACATATACAATAATATACTTATATGTACCCTCCAATAACAAATAGTACTTCACCCAGGAAATTATTTCCAATTACAATTCCAGGGGACACAATCACCGTCAATCACCACGTCAATGAGCACCGTCGTCTGCATGTAAAATTATTTCTCTGGCTATTCTGCTTTTTTTCCGTAATGCTCGTCAATGCATACTGAGTAATACTTAGTTTGCATTATTTGCTACTTATTCTTGTGTTGGTTCGGAGTGGCACTACGGGAGCGCTATCGTTTCTCTTCGGGTCCCTGATATTTCAGTCATGTGTGAGATTTGTCGGCCTGAGTAGACGAGGCCAGCTGCGGCAGCATCTATTTCATCAGAAAAAAAAACAAGTTGATTCGGTGAACGTCTTCTAGTTTCTGCTTTTGGGTATTTGGGATGCTCTTCCAAACCATAGGAGTGATGTTGCAGGCGTTGTAAAACTGCGCTTAGATTGCGATGGCATGGTATTCCGACTAATAACATAATAGTTTTAGAGTTGCAAGAGACAGCTTCATGTGACGAGCTAGTTTGGTCGAGGCCCTGGTGTCCTAGGCGTTCACCAAAGGGTCCATCTGTTAATCCATTGATGTACTACCCCGAGATTAACTGTGGTTCACCAAAGCGCCACTCCAGGATCCGCTAAGGTTATACCTAGTTATCATGAGGTTCCAGGATCGTGTATCTCCGGATTCCTACGGCTGCTTCACATGCCGAAATCCAGTAGTCTAGAAGGTATGAATAGCCGGAATGGTATTGATCAACCGTCCTTTGGGGGCTTCCAATGAATCAGAAGTATGAGAAAAATGGGGTGGTTTATTTCATCATACGATGATTTTTTGGACAAACGAGACGTGACCTGAGAAGCTAGAAATCGCTAGACATCTGCTTTCACCTGGTTCGGTTTAATCAGCAGTGCGAACCCAGCAGCCCAAATGAGAAATGGGATGATTGACCTCACAAGTAGAACTCATGCATGCGTCGCAATCGGCTATTGGGCAGCTAATCAGACAGTTTCTCCTTCTGAATAGACACAATATAGCACAACCCATATTTGTGAGATTTTTGCGTGTATCGTGCCTCGATCGTCAACACGAGCAACGGTCTAATCAGCCGCTTGGTAGTCGACTTTATGGTATGATTACGTTCTTTCTATCTGTGGGGTTTCGGATTCAACATTCAGTTGTGTGGCTCGATTCGAGTTGCTCATGAGACCAACCAGGTCAAACAAAACCAGATCAAAACCGGTGCATCTCACCCTCCAAAACCCTCCTCTCATTTACTTGACGGATTCACCATTGGGTTTCCGTCGAATGTTACCAGTCATCGAGCCATTTAATCTGAACGTTTCTGTTCCACTATTGCGATATTTTTATTATTACATTACAGACAGTTATGGAAGGATCGCTAAGGAGCACAGAGTATGTGCCATAGCGTTGGAATTGCACTTGGCCGCAGCGAATCACGTCGTGGGTGTGAGGAAGTCGTTTCGTCGAACCTATTCAGTGATATGAGTGCGGTCCACCGACGAAAATCTCGATTGCTATGTAGAACTGATGCAACGAATGGAATAAACCGTCGCTCTTCTTATGCACGCGGAAACAGTTCCTGACATGTCTCGCACCCCTTCTCCCCGTTGTGGCCATTTATTCTATTGTTTTTCTAATCTAACGTTCCGGTCGGAAATGCGAACTGTAAATAATTATAACTTCATTTCGGACAAACAAACAATCTGGTTTTACTGTTTTACTACGTTATTCCCTCAGTTAACTAATGTGTTGTGCTTGGTCGTAGAATGAAGCACTGTTGTTTATTTCAGTGAATCAGTCTGAATTATACACACAGTTAGGCTAATTCTGCATGAGGAATAGGGACGGAGACCATCGGACGACGTGAATTAGTCTGTTTGGATGTGGGAGGTAAAGTTAATTGTTATTGGATTGCACCTAATAGCTGCGCTACTAAATTCCTGCATGCAATCAGGAATTGAAGGACAGACAGTTTTTATACGTGTAGAGACGACAAATAAACCCGTACTGATGAAGTCATGTACCAAGAGCAGATTTCATTGTATAAACGGTCGATGCAAATTGCGTTTTCAAGGGGAATTAGCAAACAAACAGTATTTAACACTTCGGACGGACGTTGGATGAAAATCCTGCAATCAAACAATCCAAAGATAGTGGCACACTCAACTTCCTCAAAACACTTCTGGTTCGCAATGCAATTAGGCAAAACCCAATGAAAATAAGGCTGGAAAAATCGATTTTTGTGGAATTGATTTGATAGCCACAAGTTATATCATATTGAATTCCGTCATATAAAGATCGAATCAAGCTGAAAATCTGGACAGCATCCTGTAGCTTCTTTAATCAGTATATTACTCACCTTCAGTCGTCCATTTCACTAAACAGCAAACCCGGGATCTCACACACCAATACTACCGAGCTATTGTCCAAATGTATTTCCGTCTTGCCTGCCCGCGATATAGTGCGTTCATTCCTGAAAGTCTTTTGGCGATCAGTTCTCGGACTCAAATGAGTTATGTTATTATCTTCTAACAGTGAGGTCTCGAGTTTGATCATCGTACGAACCAACTGCTTCGCATCACTCATGAGACCGAACCTGTTTAAAATAGCTGTGAGTGCCTCATGGCCTTTCCTTGACTCTTCTTTTTGTTTGCACACGAGTTCAATGCCTATAAACCCAAGTAAAGTGCTCCAATACACTTTAGTAATGCCGTTGTGTTCATTTCTGTAATCTACTTGGTTCTCAGCTTCAGTGAAATAACTGCAGGCGATGCAAGAACATTAGACATGATATCCAGTATAACGTCAATTCACAGTCTTGATAGCTGTTCATTTTCGAATTCATAGTTTTACGCATCCTAGCCACATA